GCAACATTATACAGCACTGCGATAGCAGCTTATGATTTGATTGACACAAGATGATGTAAACAAACGGAGATGCCAAAAAGGCAGTGCTTTTTCTGTGTTTTAGAGCCTCCCAACTCGGAAACTCTCTTTTGGGATGTGGACAGCATGGCAGATATACCTCTGCGTAGTGCTTCAAGTTCCATGCAGGCCTTTAAATTTTACCCCATTAGACTCAGTGTACTTTACTTGTACTTGAACTACTAGCTTCCACGGCAACTTAAACTTATACAAAAAAGTTCATCTGTTGTTGCTGAAGCAACAGTGGCTCGTCTTTTAAAGACATCCAAACTTGCGTTTTCTTGCTTAGCCTACCATCTGGAAGTCGAGGATTGTCGTAGTGCACCTCCATGCGAAGGAAGAGAGGATCACCAGGCCCACCGACAGAGTAGCCAACGTTAGCAGGAAATTCGAATGCCTGGAAAATTAAGAGCACATTGGAGGGTTAGCTCAAGAGTTTACAAATGGAGCAGGAAATCTATTATTTATTACCAGCCTGAGTGCACAGTCTCTCTACACATAGCTCTATGACTATTGTTTTGCTCAGCTCCCAGAGGGTATTTTTTTTTTGGGGGGGGACGAAAATATGGACTTTTTCATGTAGTAGGCCTATCCTCCGCCGAGTGGCCTTTATGATGGGTGAGGCTAATTGTGGGGACGCTTTCCACTCGATTTAAAATAATGGGGATGATATGGACCAAATAATTTCCTTTCCTTTTTAAAAACATGTTGCTTTTTTGGCGGGGGGGCGGCATATCCCCGTTCCACCACTACCTCCAGATTTGTCCTTGGTCCATAATGGACGAAGAATTCAAGACTTAAGGCCGGCGTTTTCCAATACCGTTTGGTCTCCATCTCATGCTTCAACTGTTTTTTTTTCACTTCCTGACTTTGAGGTTGTAAGCGCAATATATAGTAAGTCTGAAGGTGCCACAAAACATCAACAGATGCAAAAGAGCCAAACATTCAGCCTACTTCAATTTAAGTTAAACGCTTCAGGCCCACAATCGGGGATTTGATTTCCTCCACGAGACGGAGACGAAGTGCGGAGCGCAGTTCGTGCGCCACCAAGCGGACAGCTGGGAGAGGCCAAATTACGCGGTGCCTGATGGGAAAAAGTCGACATCATGCCCACGCATTATGTTTATCATATCTACACGTACGTACGTACGTGCATGTACTGACGTTGTTGAGAATTGTAGTGTTTTGTGGGCGATTATTTCACTTGTATCAATACCTGATAACAATGGTTTACTTCTGTGAAGCTTCAGAATGCCAGGCACACTCATCCAAACTCAAAAAAATCTCGAAATACCCATGGATGATAGATATAAGGTGGGTTAAGTGGCCCCGAAAGGATGCCGCTGCTGTCTTGAGATGGAAAAACCTGATCAAGCGCGAAGGCAAAAGCAGAGTACATGGCAAAATCGTAGACCAGCTGACCATCACGAAACGATCCAGGCTCTGTAGCAGGCATTTTGACGAAGAAGACATAGACATGTACGGAAATGCCATGTGTGACCCCAAGTACTTTGAATGGAATAACTGGGGAGGAAGGAAGACAACCCAACGAGCTCAAGCAAGAACCACGTTAAGCCTACGTGCCCTGCAGAAACTTGACCAGGCAAGGCAGGCTCAGAAAGCATGGTCAGGGCTGGATGCGTATCATCCCGTGGATGTAGGACTAGGGGCAAGATGTGAAGTGAAGACTCACAATGTACCACCTGTTGAAGGTGAACTGGCAGTTACGGTCTCGTCTGAAACAACCCGAATTAATGTTGGACGTAAGTGGAAATTATTTTACGTTAATTTACAAAATTTTACGTTTGTTACAGCCTCATTTACAGCTTCAGAGGGCAGTGTGCAGTTAGTGACTTATTCCTTGTTTGACATTTAACATGTTGACCAAGTAACCGTTTGATAGCCTGGCGAGCGATAAGGATGCACACCCCTAAAAACTATGGAGTACAAAAGGGACAAAAGACAATCTGTGCCCCCTACATCTTAGGACACATTTGACCCTGAAAGAAACCATGACCCAGGTCGCAAGGAGTCATCGGCAGTTGAAGAGAACAGTGAGATCAACTTCGATATAATCTTAAAGCAGGGCATGGGGTTTGATACATGTACATGTACGTGTATTAAATTCCCATTTGCTACCATGGAAAACTGTGTTGCCCTGGTTGAATTGGAGGCATTGGTATTGCTACAGAGTACAGACACACTTTGAAACTAAGTTTATGCCTGGGCGTGGGCTTTATGTACATGTATATTGTTTCGATTTACTGAAATATATGGAATTTCAATTAAATTGTATACATGTATTTCATATGAAATGGTACATGTATGTCCAATGTAAATAAGCTACATGTGAATGGATACATGTGCATTTGGGCACAGCTTTTTTTTTTTTCCCTGTCATTTCTGCTGCAACCAGAATGCTTCATATGCCGATGGCTTTGTTAGAGATTGCCAAATGTTAAACTGTTATTTAGTGTAATTTAGTTATTTAGTGTTGAATATCAAATGGTTACTTGCTCAACATTGAATGTTGAACATCGATCAAGGAATAACTAATTTCACATTGATGCTTAAGGGTACTTTTATTTCTGAATCAAGTGATCTTTTTGTGACTTGATCATTTGTAGATCAAGACATCATTTGTTAGGGCTTATATATATTATTAGTGCTGACCTGGATTACAATTTTATAAACAAAAGCTGTGATCTATTGATCAGGCTTCAGGAAAAGGTTCACTTATATGTTACTATGCTTCTAGTGAATTGTTCCAAATTTTGATATTTACAGGCCTGTGGTCTGACTTTCTGAAAACTAGAGTTTCTGATTTTCTCCAACTCAATGCAATCATATCACAATACATGTACATGTATGATACTGATCCCCAACCAGTGCTCATAAGTCATGCGATTTGTATCTGTACGCAGGTATGGAGCCTCTGTTTTGGGCCGAGGCTCCACAGCCCATGGATCACGACTACCTCTGCACCCCATCGCCAGCTTTGATGATTGATCAGAGTGTTCAGACTGTCATGACGATGAATGATATTACAGCACTGGAACGTCAGGCCCGGTCACCTCCTCAGCCACTCCCAGGGCAAGCTGTGGTAGATTATGCTACTGAGACTGATGAGAAGGTCAAATTCTACACAGGATTAACTTCCAAGAGCATTCTTCTGGGTAAGTTTCATTATATTAGTTGTTTACCAAAAAAATGAGAAACCTGTATACTGGTACATAGCGAGAGGAACTAAGATTCTCTACAAAGGTCTGAGCAATATTCAGACCTGTTCATTTCATCTCTTTTAAAACAGGTTGAGAGGGGCTGTGGGACTTGCAAGCAGACAAAAAATAGGTCAAAATGCAACATGAAAACCCTGCAGAAAGATTGCAATCTAAACAGAAACAAAACCTTTGATTTAGTGCTCTCTTTCTTACTTTCTAAGACAAACACCATGGACCATATTACTATCCATGCATGAATTCAAGCCATTACATCTTCAGGATAGGAAGTGAAAACATTAATAAGCTACCATTGTAGAAGGTAAATAACACATGGTGGAAAATGGCCAAGTAACCTTCGTACCAAAATAGGCCGAGTTGTGCTGAAAGACAGGTGGACCACATGATTTGGGTGCAACTTGGTGGTGAAAACTGCATTAAAATGTAAAGAAAATGTCCTGCCCATTCTCCAAACCTTGTGACCAAATTACCTATTCTTTTGTTTCACTCACATTTTACACATTATTTTCTTTTCCTTCAGGAATTTTTGATTCTATCAGCGATGGTGTTGATCGTTTACAATATTGGAAGAGGACCAGTGCAAACACAGAGGAACATGGCCACGAACAAAGTGGGAAACGACGCTCGAGCAGACGGCATCAGCTCCCACTATTTCTCCAGTTTCTCATGACGCTCATCAGACTGCGACTAAACTTGCCTCTCCTCCTTCTGGCAGACCTGTTCCACGTGAGCAGGTCGACAGTCGCAACGGTCACCATCACCTGGATTTCCTACTTGCACCAAACTCTGGTACCAGCACTACTCGTGTGGCCATCTCAAGCTTACATCAGAGGGCGGATGCCGTCGGCCTTTAAGGCAACATTTCCCAACACCCGTGTAGTGATAGACTGTTCCAAGTTCCTCATTTATAAACGACGTCAAACACACTGCCAGTACAACAGCCACAGCACGTGTAAGGTGTTGTTTGGAGTCTCACCATCTGGTGCATTCACATTTGTGTCAGATCTGTGGTCGGGAAATGTGTCTGAGAAGTACTTGATCGAACAGAGCGGGCTGATAGACAAACTCGATGACGGCGACGCAGTAATGGCTAATCAAAGCTTCCACATAGAGGACTCACTTCGAAGGAAAAAGGTAACACTCATAGTGCCACCGTTGGCAAGAGAGCAGCATTGTGGAAAAGGAAAGAGACTTAATGTCAACGAGATTGGGCTTTCAAGACAGATTGCACGTCTTCGCGTTCGTGCAGAGAGGGCAATTCGGCACGTCAAACGTTGGCAGATCCTGAAACATCAAATCCCGCAATCCCTACGAGACTGTGCCCCTATGATTGTAAAACTCGTTGCAGCGCTGTGCAATGTTAAGGCGCCTCTGTTTAATCCAAACAGTGGAAAATGTCTGAGAAAGCAAAAAGTAGGTCGAAGAAAGCCAGTGAAGCGATTGAAACATTGACAATGTTGTAACACTGTTACCCTAAACAGAAACTTCAGTCCAATATGTGTAGTTCATTTTGATGAAATGCAATCAGTGATTTGAACACTCCAGTACTTTTGTTTACAAGGTGAACCTGATGTTTTTCATTCAAACCTGTCTAAAATGAGAAATAACTGCTGGTATTACCATAGGCTCTGTATCTGGCACAGAATATTGTCACTACAGAGCCTGGAAAGTGACTACATGTTTACATGTGTGTTACATCTTTGAATTTTGAGTTGCAGCCCTGGGCACGGTACCAGTGTCTAAGATGTTTGTGTGTGTTATTGAATGTGGTTTTGAAAGAGTAAAAATTCGAAGAAGGAAAGAGTAAACATTGAAAATCTTAAATGGGCATTAAATAAATGCTTAGAGTTTTTGAAAATCTGGGAATCATCGCTTTGTTTATTTTTTCAAGATAGAGTTTGTAATTTTGAAAGATTTTTTAAAACCAACAGTTCCATACTTGCCCAAGTCCAAGCACTCGACATCTAAAAGGGCATGAAATAAATTGTTCGTAGATTTGTGGCAGGCCTTGACATTATTTGATCCTTTGCAGTGTTGAATTTGTGGTTTTTGAAAAGGTCAATAACTGAAAGATTTGGTACAAATTATACGAGCTCTCAGACTCTTAAACGGATCATAAATAAATTCAAAGACTTCCTCATGTTTAAAAAACAAGTGATTTAGTTCAGATTTCAAAAGATTTGATTAGGCAGAAATCGCCTTTTTTTGCATGTCCTATCAGAATATTGTTTTGAATAGTAGATGACTACTTTCCTTTGTAACTAGTGCGTGAACTGTACTCAATACACAAACTTTTAATTCCTTGGGACTTTAGTTTCGCAACTTCCCAACGTTGTGCCCCATTATAGGCGGGTGTGCGTTGGGCTTCAACAGAGTAACTTTTTTCCAACAAACTGAAGTCCAGAAAAAAGTTTCACCCATGTAATTGTTTTTAACTATATTACCACTGAGAAGAACCGCCAGTTTAATGTAACTTCTGATCCGAAAGTAACATTTTGAATTAAATGTGTGACTTCATTGCACACTGTACGTGTATATTTCCTGTTACAAATGATTATCAATTTTGGTTGTCTGAGGAGGGTGTGTTCTTGTGGTTCGACACCATGCACCAGATTTATCGGTTACCACTGTCATACGAAAGTATCTTACAGTACTTCAAATAAATTGCACAGAATGATGCCCTATCGTATACTTGTATCAAAACATGTAGCACTGGTATGCATTCTGAAATAAACTTGGCACATGTAGTTACAATCGTCCTCTTCTACTGTGACTCTCCCTTTTCAAGTGTCCCTTTTGTGTGCCACTTAACTCGGAGCCCATTCAAGTTGATGTTTCAATCTCTCCAACAACTTACATGTATTTATTGTGGCCGTGAGCTTCCCTAGCCTCATGTTTTCTCCCATCCCTCCACACTTGATCTCACCTTCTGGCCAAACGGCGCTGGCCGCATCCTGCTAGATCAAGTGCCGGCGTGTCGCGGGCAGAGCTAGAGGAGTTACAAGGGGAGAAAATCCGCTGCAAGTATTTTGGAATCGATCCAAATTTGGGGCATTTTTGAGTGTGAGGGTTGGGATAGATTATTCCAAAATGTGTAATTAAAATGGATCAACTCCTCTTTCATTCCAACACAGAATTCCCCGATCGGTCAGAACCCTCTATTTCTTCTTGAAATCAATTACATTCGGATTGTACCGTTGATGGTCGGAAATTTTCGGCAGTTGTGTCCAAGTGAGACACATTTAAAGAGTGTCATACTAGATGTATTAACGGCGGTAAATTTTCGAATTTTTTTAGTTTACGCTTGAGGAGGAACTCTCGGTGTGGCTCGTTTGCATTCAAATATAAACTCTGAGCCGCGTCTAAGCTAGTGACCGACATGCATGGGCGTAAATCCTGGGGATGGGGTTATATACATGCATCCCCCACTTTTTGAGGTGGGGGAGGGGCCATTGAATCCCCCCCAATATTTCTGTGATGAGCAAGAAATTAAAGCAGATTGTAAAAATGTTTTAGGATTTCCCAACAACGCAAATGTTAGCAATATCTCTAAAAAGGACAAAAACCTTTAAAAGCCATATTATGCCATTCTGATGTAAGATTCTGCATAAATGTGGTACACGGTTTAGATGTACGTCTTTATCATAAACATTGCCCCCTATATAGTGCGTATGGCGCCCCCCCCCGCTATTGAAATTTCCATGGCCAGGCAAGTTATCCCTCATCTTTCCCAGTCCTTCACCCCCTCCATTTCCTGCACAGATTTACGCCAATGCCAACCTGAACAGCAATGCCTACTCCTGTGAAGTTTTCTTCCGGGAAACGTTGAGGACTGGTTAATTAAAAATTGTTCCATTTTATGTCTTAATGTCATTTCTGTCTATTTTTTTGTCCTTGTGTATTATGTAAGTTCATCATTCAAATGAAATATATGAAATGAAATAGCTCTAACAAAAAATACGACTCCCTGCTTATTCCGGATATATTGTGTCATAAATCATATTTAATGGGTGGCAATACCTGACAAAAGATTTTATCAGCAGAAGTCAGGAATCTCCAGGTCAGGGAATTAGACCAGAAAGTTGTGGACTGTGAAGTGAGAAATTCGCCTCTCCTTGCTGTATGCCTCCTTGGTGGCCCACCAAACTGTGAATCGCCCGTAAATGTTTGCAAGAATAGTGCATCCATCATGGGTGCCGGGCGAGGGCGGAATACCCCCCTCTATCATGTTGCCCTTTTGATCGAAATTGAAAGCGCTAACTACTCTTCCAAAATGACACTTTCTGTTGAGGTCGATTAAGATGCTTTTACTGATTAAAACTCCTTTTCATGTTTTTTTTAAAACAAAACAACAACAATCCCATTTTGCATGCATCCGTAGACCCCAAACTGGATATGTCTGGGATTTGAAATAGTCTTTTAAAAGACCGCTTTTGGTTTTTTATTCTAGTTTTCTTTTTATTTTTTATTTATTCATATTTTTTTATTTTGTATTTTTACTCTTTACAGCATGATGGGATTTTTGACGGCAGTTATTAAATCGAAACTCGAGTGTTCCGTTATAACAAAAGAATCACTTCATGTGAAACTGGCATGAGTGGTGTAATAGGTAATTTTGAACACGCAGAACTATAAAACTTATTTGGGGGTATAGACAAAAGATTTCAGTACCAAGATCAATGCGTTTCAAGACCTGTCCCGCAAATCTGTTCTATTCAGTGCGCCCAGTGCCCTATGTCTCTGAAGAAAGGCTTACTGTGAATAAGAGAAGGTAGGATTGGGCAAGTTTCAGAGTAAGCTTAACAATCCATAAGCATAACAACATATCCATAAAACTCCCATTCCTACCTTGCCATGTTACATCCTCTATGTCCTCTTTTCCTAGACTTAAGTGTAACCCTTTCCACTAAATTCCCCATGTGCAACTTAAAATTCCCATTTTGCCAAACTGTCCATTATCATAAAAGCTTTGGCCAAAGATCAGCATATCGGCTGTACTTTCCATACTTTTAAGACCCCCCCCTCCCCCAAAAAGAAATTACTAAAAAAAAAATAAATAAAAAGAAGAAAAA